GCTTACGAAGAATTAGTGCATTCCGACACGTTAGACGCTAAAGGAGTCTCTACGGTTAAGCCTAGGTATAAGAGCTCCTATTCTGTTTATTTGCGTTGCATGTCGAACATGTCAGATTTCCAGGCAAAGTTAGTTAAGGGCGAAAAAGATACAGATGTCCAGGAACACAATATACATTTGCCCCCGTGCGATACGGACGTGTTCAAAGGCGACTACCTCTCTTGGCCAACATTCCGAGACATGTNTGTCCAGGAACACAATATACATCTGCCCCCGTGCGATACGGACGTGTTCAAAGGCGACTACCTCTCTTGGCCAACATTCCGAGACATGTTTACGGCCATATATATACTGAATAAGCGCCTTACCCCGGTTGAGAAATTATTCCACCTCAACCAAAAAACACAGGGGGAGGCCAAAGATATCGTCCAAATATGCCCACTTACTAACGAGGGATGCCACTGCATGGAAAAATTTAACTCATAGGTACGAGAATAAACGTATTCTCGTAAACTCCCAGTTACAAATTCTTTTTAATTTAAAGTCGGTAGAAAACGAGTGCGGAATCTCGATTAAGAAACTACAGCGAGATATAAATAATTGCATCTCATCATTAAAAAGCCATAAAATTGACATATCAAACTGGGATGCAATATTTACTTATCTCTGCTCAACGAAGTTGCCAGAAAGTACCTTAGCATTGTGGGAACAAACGATCGAGAACAAGACGGAAATATCCAAGTGGGAGGATATGGACAAATTTCTGTCCAATAGATTCCAAACTCTTGAAACCGTCTCGGGCATAGCAGGTATTAAACATACCAAAACCCCAAAGCCCCACAATATTAGGCATACCAATGAAACACCGCAAAAAAGACTTGGCGCATTTCAAGCTTCTGTAGCCAAAACCATGTGCAAATTCTGCGAACTCACGGTGTCAAACAGAATAGCCTTCATTAAGGAGAATCATGGCTGCTTGAACTGCTCATCCTTTGGACATACTGTGTCAAGGTGTACATGCTCATTTAACTACAGCACCTGTCACCAAAGGCGCCACACGCTCCTGCATAATCAATCAGCTCCGCCAAAAGCAGCCATGAACCAAAGGCAACAACCAAATTTTTCAGATGATACGCCGTCAACTTCTGCGCAAGCTCAGGCCACACGCAACTCTGAAAAAGGAAATAGAAGTCCGGCTAATAGACTCCGGTTCGGAATGTTCATTCATAACAGAAAGACTTAAACGCCGAATTAACCTACCATCCAAACGTTTGAATGCTCAGGTGTCAGGCATCAACAACATTGCTTCAGCCCAAGTCAAAGAAGCGTGTTTAATACAGTTGCGGTCACCGATTGACCCTTTAATAAACATAGGTACCACTGTCCTGGTTCTCCCACAGCTTACAGGAAATCTGCCGACTTGCCAAATCAATGCTATGACAAAGCAAGCGTTTCCGGATCTAGTTNCAAGCGTTTCCGGATTTAGTATTAGCTGACAAGAGATTCTTCATAAATGAGCAAGTTGATCTTGTACTAGGCGGCGATATTTACGCCCAAATAATATTGAGTGGCATACAGAAGAATGTTTTAGGTACCCTGCTTGCGCAAGAGACTGTATTCGGCTGGATACTAACCGGTCAAACTGAGGCAACAGGTCCAACGAATCAAAGCGTTTCATTCTTGAACGAAGTCACTCTAGATAAACAATTAGCGTCTTTCTGGGAATTAGAGGACATCCCAAATAACCATACATACAACAGAGAGGAAGTTTACTGCGAGGACCTTTACAAACGCACAACTAAAAGGAACAAAGATGGCAAATATACAGTATCGTTGCCATTCAAAATAGATTTTCCAAGGAGCGTGCGGTTAGGACCCCCTCTCAAGAGCGCTTGCTCTAAATTTTTTCGCAATGAGACANGCTTGCTCTCAATTTTTTCGCAATGAAACGCGTCTAGCAAAGGACCCACTCCTACAAACGGAGTATAATAGGGTACTGTCCGAGTACGAAACTTTAGGACATATGACGCGAATTTCCAGCCATATTCAAGCTGATGAGTGTGAAAATTATTTTTTACCTCATCATGCCGTCCGGAAGGAAGAGAGCACCACCACCAAAGTACGGGTGGTGTTCAATGCGTCGTGTCCGACAGCTAATGGGGTGAGTCTTAATGATGTGCTTCATCCTGGTCCAGTCCTGCAAAATGACCTCACCATCTTAACACTTCGGTGCNGCACCACCACCAAAGTACGGGTGGTGTTCAATGCGTCGTGTCCGACAGCTAATGGGGTGAGTCTCAATGATGTGCTTCATCCTGGTCCAGTACTGCAAAATGACCTCACCATCTTAATACTTCGGTGGAGATTTTATAAATATGTTTTTAATAGCGACATCGAAAAGATGTATCGCCAAATTTTACTTAATCCTACCGATACCAAGTATCAACGCATAGTTTTCCGCACAAGCCCAACAGAACCAATTAGTCTTCTTGAACTTAATACGGTAACTTTCGGGGTCAATTGCGCCCCTTACCTCGCTATTAGAACCCTGCTCCAATTAGCTGACGATGTAGACCAGTCACACCCCATGGCGTCGGACATATTAAGAAATTACATGTATGTTGACGATGTTTTAGCTGGCGGTCACACCATCGAATCCGCTATCAAAGCAAAAACCGAAATAACAATTGCACTGCAGTCTGCTGGGTTCCCCTTGAGGAAATGGACGTCCAATTGCAATGAAATATTAAAGGGAATACCAAAATCCCATCTACAGAAAGAAGACTTCTTGGACTTTGAAGACACCAGCACAGTCAAAGCTTTGGGTATCAGGTGGAACGCCCACTCTGACAATTTTTCNAAAGCTTTGGGTATCAGGTGGAATGCCCACTCTGACAATTTTTACTTTACAGCCAAGCCAATAGAGGAACAGGTTAGCTATACTAAAAGGCAAATACTATCGGCTATTGCCAAATTATTCGGCCCTCTAGGATGGCTTGCACCAGTGGTAATTACAGCGAAAATTTTAATGCAGAATATATGGTTGGAAGGAACAGGGTGGGATGAAACCGTGTCACCTACGACCCTAGATCGCTGGAAAAATTTTAGGGAAAGCTACAGCAGTATCGAAAGAATTCGTATTCCGCGTTCGGTACACTTTTGCCCTGTGGCCAAGATCGAAATTCACGGATTTTGTGACGCCTCAGAGAAGGCATACGCAGCATCTATTTACTTGCGTGTCGAAATAAACAGCAAAGTATTCATCAACCTGCTACTATCAAAAACTAGGGTAGCAACAGTTAAAACGATTTCCCTACCACGCCTAGAACTCTGTGGAGCGGTCCTACTGGCTGAAACTTTGGAATCGATTTCGGATAATCTGAACTTAGCCCATCTTACAACTCAGATGTGGACGGATTCGACCATCGTGCTCCCTGGATACGCAAGCCTCCATGCTCATGGTCAACATTTGTAGCCCATCGAGTGACAAAAATAATTGAGAAGGTGGGAAGAGAAAACTGGCGTCATGTGGACTCAACGTCAAACCCATCAGATTTAGCCAGCAGAGGACTTACGGCGCAAGAGTTNAACCCCTCAGATTTAGCCAGCAGAGGACTTACGGCGCAAGAATTAATAAACAATTCCCTGTGGTGGGAGGGCCCTTCTTGGCTTCAAGAAGACCACTCAAAATGGCCCACTCAAGGAAAGGACTATAACACAACCGTTGAAGAAAAAAGGGTACAAGTTTATATAACAACAACAATCGATAGTAATACTGATATTCTTGATAGGTTTTCTGAATTTCCAAGAGCTTTGAGAGTGCTATCATACGTAATGAGATTCTCCCAAAGAACCCGTCCAAATACCAAAGCTTCATTTCAAGCGAAATCTTGTTTAATTTCAGCTGATGAAATTAAAGCAACGACCCAACGCTTAGTACTAGTTTGCCAGAAGCAGCATTATGGTGAGGAATATTCAGCATTAGTATCAGGAAAATCAGTAGGTTCTAAAAGTGAAGTATTGTAGTAACAGGTGGACGGCTGGGAGCATCTCGTGATCTCGCCTACAACGAGCGTCACCCAATCATCCTGCCTTATAATTGCACCTTGTCCCGTCTCATAGTTCAGTTTATTCACAAAGTTTCCCTGCATGGTGAGAATCAGCTCATGCTGCGCTTGATCCGAACACAGTACTGGATACCTAGGGTCAAAAACTTGATTAGGTCCACAATTCATAACTGTAAGGCCTGCACGATTTATCGCAAACGCGCGCAAGCTCAGTTAATGGGAATTCTTCCCAAGGAAAGAACGACATTTTCACGAGCGTTTACAAATGCGCGAGTCGATTTCGCAGGGCCATTTGACATTAAAAGTTATAGTGGCCGAGGTTGTCGCATGTCAAAGGGATATGTCTGCCTATTTGTATGCTTCGCAACAAAGGCAATCCATTTGGAAGCCACTTCGGACCTGAGCACTCAATCGTTTTTAGCAGCATTTCCCAGGTTTATTGCACGACGAGGTTGTCCAAAAAATATCTATTCCGACAATGGCACCAATTTTGTGGGAGCTTCTAGAGCTCTGAGAGCCGAAACAAAAGCCTTTTTAAAAGACGCCCGCGATAACACTTTGGCGAAATACGCTCACCAAATGCTTTCGTGGCACTTCATTCCCGCCTCAGTTCCCCACATGGGCGGACTGTGGGAAGCGGGAGTTACAAGTTTTAAAAGCCACTTTACGAAAATTCNGAGGACTGTGGGAAGCGGGAGTTAAAAGTTTTAAAAGCCACTTTACGTAAGTTGCTTCCAACCACAAATACACGTTTGAGGAATTTACAACCCTATTATGCAGAGTTGAATCATGTCTCAACTCTCGACCCCTGAGTCCCTCATCAAATCAACCAGGAGACCTGGAGCCACTGACTCCAGGCCACTTCTTAATCGGTGGACACATACTAGCTCCCCCAGAAATAGACGCTGATGAAAATCGTGCCTCGATTGTAAATCGGTGGCAGAGGCTCAAGGCTCTACACCGCACGTTTTGCAAACGGTGGAAAAGTGAATATCTCACGGAATTGCAGAAACGCAACAAATGGAGACATCCGCAAGCCAATATGAAAATTGGAGACCTCGTGATCATCAAAGAAGATAACCTGCCGCCAAACGAATGGAGACTTGGAAGGGTAGTTAACGTCCATCTAGGTGCAGACAATAGGGCGAGAGTAGTGGATCTCATGACTGAAAGAGGACAGGTTACTAGACCTGTAGTCAAGTTGGTTCTACTACCCCCCTGTGATCAACAACACAGCGAATCGCAACCAAGCAACGATTCCACTTCATAAAAACCTAACTTATTCCACAACCATGATTCGCAACATAATACAGTCCACTTCATCATACAAATACAAATCATTACTGCTCTCACGGCAGGTATCTTGAAAATAACGTATGCAAACCGCATATATATATATGTTTCATAGACCAGTAAAGCTCCAGTCTAGTCTCGACAATCGAACTTATAATATTCAAGTTTATTTTAAGTTATAACTCGATGCCTTTTTCTTTAGAATGCACCTTATTGCAAATCACTCTTAATCAAAAACGTCGAATACTGAGTTTTGCGTGAAAACCTCAGCATTCAAAAATCCTTCGTGAATTTCAATTGTTCGTATTGTCGAGTTTAAACTGTTAACAAACGAACCAACGGAAAGTAGGAGAAAGTAATCTTATAGGGAATGGTGCATGATACAATCATCATGGGCGATTGGCTGAATAAAAGGTTTAGCAAAAGATGGTAGTCGACCAACTTCATTGAAAACGATTAGTCTGAAAATGATAAGAGTTGGCACGCACATAAAAGTCAACTCCTACCGCAACCATAGCGCGCATTTATTTAACATAATCCACTACTAATCCCGCAAGAAAAATATTCGGTCTATTGCATACTGTATCCATATACACAAATATTATGTAATCTCAGTGTTAATTAAAAAAATGGCGCATGCCTTCAGTATGTGTTCCTTACAAAATCATAGAATCGTAAGATTCCGCCACAGAAAAGTAAAATGCAAAATCCCAGCCAAAAGACGATAAGTCGATCACGCGTTAAGCAAGTCGAAGGGGTAAAATTTCCCAACCCGATAGCTGTCTAGTCTCTTGAAACAATTTGTATGCTTTAGTTTCCGAACGCTCTTTCCAAACAGTTTGACTATTGTGATGACTCAATAATCAATAGAGACCAAGCAATATGTAGTATCGAATTTTGACTGTGAATGCAAGCATCGAGCATGTGTTTTAATAGGCGTGTTTGGCTCGCTTACACACAAGTCCTCGCAATGAACCATATCGACGGTAGTAGAACGAAATTTATAATACTGTCCACCCTTGAAGGTGGCCTGGTATCATACAAAATTTGTCAGTCAAATTTCGCATGATAAGAAGTTTATAGTAATTTGAAATTTCATTCAATCGCATACGCAGCTATTTAATGAATATATAGACAACTTGCCAAACGATTATGAAAAAAAAGGGTAATGTATGATTTCAACGTCCCTAGTAGGAGATTATGACTCTTTTGCCCACGCAAGAACGACACTGACCAAAAGGCGTTTTGACTCAAGTCATATTTCTTTTAAACGAGTTATACCGGCGTCTTGATAGTGCACTTGATGAAAGTGCATTCTAAGTATTTCAAATTTTTTATACTGACAATTCAGGTTTCAGATGGGTTGTATAGAGAACAACAGGCGATTTTGTTTTTCGCGTTAAATAAGACGTGCGTTTATACGCATTTTTTAACTGACCTAAGGCAAATGCCAGTCAATACGCTTCTGAATGTCAAGACGTATTTATGCACCCGGTTTGAAGCCCTGAGGACGGAGTCAAAGCGCTTTCCCTCTCAGTGTCGATAAGGTTGCACCCGCTATTTAAAAATATCAACTGGCTCTTCTATATAAGCGTATGAGCCCCTATTCTAACAGGCAGTCAAGAAAGCGGCCTTCAGATCGGGTCCTGTTGAAAGGTCATAACAGAAATCCCCCGTAAAAAAAAAAAACCAAAAGGAATATAACGTCATACCTAAACGATAGGAAGTCAAAGAGTAGAGGCGCACTGGCAACAAACATATAACTTGTGTATACCGACACATAAAGCGCTTTAACCCACTTCGCCATGATTCAAAACGTATGCATAAACCAAATTACAATGCGCTCAGAAATTCAAAAGTGTATTGACTCGAATTTGTTTTCAAATCGGTTTTTTAATTCTCACATCGGTTAGAAAACAGGTATAAACGTATCAATAATTTGACGCGAAGTGAAAAAAGGCTGGCTTTCTTTATACATCCCTTTTTAAATTTGAATTATTGTTATAATAAATTCGAATTATTGTTTGCTTCCATTTCGGTCAACCGCGCAAGTTAGTTATTAAAGAAATGTCGTATAAAACCAGCACATTTGGTTTGCTTTTGAATACGGCTTCATCGAGTGCGCAATAAAGACCGAGGCATAAATACTTGAAAAAAATATGTGTTCAGTCAAATCAGCTTTTTGTTAATGCGGTTCTTGCTTAGGTATAAACAAGGTAATAGTACCGCAGAGAAGGAAAGCGTTCGTGTCACCCTTTATACCCTTTAATTCATCTATATCCTTCTGGGAGAATCCTATAATCTGCATCATTTGCACAGTATGTTCGACCATTAGCATTAAACGCAATTTTCCAATGCCAATAGGCTTATAATGAAATGTTACCTTAAACTCGGTGGGATTTTTGGTAACTTGTACCATATTTTTTAAAACGTGTATTAAAAAAATATATATATATAAAAATAAGTCAATCTTCAAGATTGGCATTATTTTGTGATTGCGATTAATCTGGATAAGGCTTGCCATCTCTAGAGGAACATCTGCTTTCGATAGTGATATATTGTCGGTAAGCAAATTGACGTGCACCTGTGACATAATATGTGTAACTGGCCTCGTTGCATGCACATAGTCACTACGCTGTTTTGTGTTTTCATTATCGCCTTTCACATCGTAATCCTCATGCGATAGATAACCAATTTGATAGATCATTTTTGCTAATATTATAATTGATACAACGAACGAGATTATTCGGCTGATAAAGATTTGTATAGAGGTTCTTGTTATGCAACCCAGTATGCAGGGCGCTACGAATATGACGTGAATAACACACACCTCGTTAACGTCGCAAACAAATGCTGTTATATATATAGCCTTAATGATGTGTAATTCCAAGAAGCCCCAAAACAATTTCTTCGGAACAATGAAGTAATGCCTTGTTATATTACGTAAACGTTTTAGTGATGAAAACCAACAAATCCGGCGCATGCCATTCAATGGCGGCTATAGGATGTAGGTTTTGCAAATTAATGAATCCGATGTGTCGCAACAATTGTTGCGCAAATGAACACATAGCGAAGATCGATTCGATCTTCATAGCAATTATTGTCACTTGCAGTACTATATGACATAATAGTAGTAGTGCTCATAGTGCGATGAGTATGATGAAAAATGGTCCGACGGAACTTTTAAAATTTCGACTGTTGGCGATGGGGATAAAGGGCGTTATAAAAAAAAAAAAAAACATTAACAGGTACACGAACGAGATACCGGCAGGGCGGAATAGTGCGGCCAGCACCAGTACCGTCGACACCACCACATATTGCACCGCAAGACAGCCATAGCTGATTGCCATTTTGTGGAAGAATTAAGTTTGTACTTACTACTTTGTTTTGTTGTTTTTGCGGCATCCCCAGCCGAAATTGGTCACATTGGGGCCCACTTATCTGCTATTGCGCCCGTTGGTTGATTGTTGATAAATACTTTTAATTGGCGTTCACTTTGGATAAATATTAAACATTATGTAGATTTTGTCACTTCAACTTTACAACTTACGTAATCTTTTGTTGTAGCTATTGAAACCGATCACATAGCCGGCTTTCTAGACATTTTAATTAATGCTTAATGAAAATAAATTAATTTACACCGGCTCGAATATTGCATTTGCTTTTTTTTTTGGTTGTAAAAAACAAAAAATACCAAATTAAAATACTATGAGCCAAAATACGCAACTCACCGCATTGTACCCACTCGTGTCATTGCGGAAATTCTCTATGGGCTGCAATTGACATCAATAGTTGCTTCACGATATTCACGATTTGCAGGAACAGCTGTTTTCTCCATTAACAAACCTTATGGGAGGTGGTCACCTGGAACGACTTCCTGTAAAAACCTGCAAATCGTGAAGCATCTGGAACGCAACTAATGAAAGTGTCAATTTAAAAACTAGTGATGTGCAGAATTGCCCCAATACTCGGTACCTAAAGTCTCGGTGTTGGTAACCGGTACCGACTCAATGCACTACACCTTGGCAATATAAGCACACATCAATCACTTGTTGCACAATTTCGGGCCCATCAATTTTTGAAAGGAATAATAAGGGTTCACAAAAAAACGAACCGTCGATAACTTCACAAGTTCGACACCTAATGACTCTCATTTATTTAATTTTTTTTTCTCCACTCCCTAAAGGCGCTGTGGACTCAGTATTCACAAAGAGTCCCGCACATAGCTCCTTAACAAAAAAATAAATAAAAATATATATGTATATTGACTTATTTATTTCAATACAGTATGTATAATATTCATAGTCCGACGCCGTGTCAAAAGTATTGGATATTTTAAATCGGTACCGAGTAGGTATGAATACTCATATGTGTTGACTCAGCACATCTCTAATATAAGAACGCAAATTTCAATTTACGCTCTTGGTTGACAGCGCAGCCAGGGTTAGGTGTCCCTACGATCGGTAAACTGAAAATCTACTACGCAACTCGATACCGGCGAACTACTTAGATTTGCTCGGGACAAAGCAAAGCGTGTTAAATATGCATTTCCTTTTAATACAACCATGAGTTAATCAATTTTGAAGGGCCCTCCAACTTAGTAATATTCAAATAAAGCATTAAGTTATGATACTCCCAAGCACTTATATAAGCACCAGTGTACGAAAATAAACTATATTGTGCGTTACTATTTCGTTTCGTTTATTACTTCAAGAGTTCGGTACAATACGAAAACAAAACGGCTGAGTTTACTTTGCGATAGTACATTACAGTAGGTTAGAAGTTACAGACGAAACAACAAACGAAATGAATCGTGCAGAGAAAAATATATGTATGTATGTAGTACATGTGTTTTAATTAAATTGGATATGAAAATTTACAGATAAAATATTTTTCACGTAATTGAAACGTTTGCATACATATAAAACGTACCCTATGGTACAATTGTCACAAACGGAAAGCAAACGTTTCTCGTTGGGGAAAATGACAGTGAATCTTACAATTTGTTTCTGACTATGTACAAAACTGTATAAAACCACAAATGATGATTGATGAGCAAATGGGAATTGTTTTGTACAGTTTATTTTCGTACCCTGATAAGCACTTGCGATTTAGCGAAGTTCCGCACCATGCGAGCAAATAATGAGCCTACTTTTGTTTTGGGTGACAGCTCACCGATGCGAGCACAGAAATCAAAGTCGATAACAGTGTGTCGATGCATAAACATGAGGTGCCCCACACACTTTATGCAAAACTCATGCAAGAATATGCACACTATACACTATCACAAGACAGTGATATATGAGACCGTACCATAAAATAACTGAACATATTAATCACGAAATTTACAATAACCACATATAATTAAGTTTCTTTGCTACTCGCCACCCAACCATAATATCCATATATATACAAGTACGTATATCTATATAGCCAAATATACACAAAAGGGAAAAAATAATGATTTCAGACATCAACGATGACTCGCTTCACCTCGATGAGAAAGAAGGCCGAGCAACAATCAAACCGCTTTGCTCTAGCGTGCCGTTTATGCCAAGGTATGCATCCGATACGGCTCTGTCCATCAATCCGCGGTAAAACTCCCGAAGAGAGACTGAGGGAGGCACTGATTGGTCGCTTCTGCGGAAACTGACTGTCCATGAAGCATTGGTCTGACGAGTGCACGAGTGAAGAAAGATGTCGTCGATGCCGCGAAAAACACCATACAACGCTGCACAGCCGATTGATACACGACCATGGAGCGAGCAAGTTGCTAGTGAGGACGAGTCCGAGCCTCCTCAGCTGGTCGACACGAGACCATGGAGCCAGCAAGTTGCTAGTGACGACGAGTCCGAACGCGCGTTATCTATAAACGCGTCCGACTACGCAAATGAAACCACGCCGCTCCGCCCAGAAGATGAACCAGCAGAATCCACACCGGAATCTTGGACTCCCCGCCCGACTATAACCAGGGGATCGGAAACTCGGCCTTT